CCAACTCTGTGCATTTTAAACCTGAGTTAGGAGTTATATTCCTTGACTATGAAGGTGAAGTAAGATTTCAGAGAATGTCAGAGCTGCATCTATGTCCAGTTGAGGTTGGGATGTAACCTCCATTATAGCTTTCGTTTGGTAATGGCATAAGCTCGGTGAGTTAAATGTTTATTCAAATTATATGGAATTATGTGTATATATGTATATTGTATATGTTTACATGATTTGGATGTCCTCTAATATGGTTGGTTTTTGTTTTTGGTCAATCATGTACATTGGTCTTTAGATTGAGATTCCTCCACTCCGTCGGTCGGTTTTGGATCCGAATTTCGTTGGTTTTGTTTCTTTGGTTTCTTTGTTATGCCGGGAGTATGGGTACTACTTTGTGTGGTATGCCGGAAGCAACGATGGATGTCAACAGCTTAGATGAAGAGGGGGAGCCGGTGAGACATTCGTGTGTTGTACTCATTGTCCAATGGTTCGGAGGGGCATGAGTACGGGACTCGGGCATACCTGGTGGGTCCCTGCTAGTCCTTGATATTCTATTTGGTTATGCATAGAGGCTTAGGCATACCCGGATGATAATTGTGGGATCCCTGCTAGTCCTATGCATTATGTTTGATGTATTGTGAATATATGATATGTTGATACATTTGTTATGATTGATTTCTATGGAACTCTTGCGAGGGGTAATTATATATGCCATGACTAATGTTTTAGAACGTGTTTACCGTATGACATCCTTGATAAGATAGGATTCTTATAGATTGATCATTGAAATCGTTATTGTTGATTTATTATAGTATGCCTTTGGTTCGTTTTATTACCATATATATATATATATATAATGCTAATATTCTTTGTTTAGTTCATTTAATTCCCTTGCTTATTCCGAATTCTCCAACATATCTTCTTTTCAGGAAAAGAATTAGACAAGAGAAATGATCGGGTGAAATAATTGATCCTGTTGAAGTTGAAGAACTTGATCTAGTTTTTGGTACATGATTTTTGATTTTTGATTTTTTTTGTAATATTTTGGCACGAGCACACACACACACACACACACACATATATATATATACAAGTCTATTTAAGGAAGAACTGATTAGTTTGTGATAACTGTGAGATCCAATCTCAACCACAATTCAATTGATAAATTAGGAAACTAATATTTTTGGTAATTTGACTTAAAATTATAATTGAATGACATTTTAGGTATTTTAATTTTTTTTTATCTCTCCTCTCTCTCGTTCTCTTACCTTCGGCCTCCGACGAACATCATGTGATACACAAAATACAACAAGATACACAATGTGATACCCAAAACACACCAAGAAAACTTTGAGACCACTATAATACCAGTTGTGGTACCACTGTGATACCAGTTTGTGGTACCACTGTGATACCAGTTGTGGTACCACTATGATACCAACTATCATATGGACAAAAATGGGGCTAGCTGTCGAGAATGCTCACAGGTGGGTGTTTAGTGGTCGATCATGGGAGACGGTGTCTTGGTCATACAAGATGATCGGAGGAGGTCACCGGAGTGGTGATGAGTGCCGAAGAAGGCCATCGGATATGGTCCGTGTGTGTCAGTGTGTGTGTGTGTATATACATATATTAAATTAATTAAACTAATTAAAGTAAATTGGAATATTAAACTAATTAAAGTAAATTGAATAATCAACATAATTTAGTAATTTATCCTTTGTTTTATTTTAGTAAATTACATTAATCATCTAAAATGATTGGTTCATATTAGACCTCACAGTTACCACAAACTATCTAGTTTTCATTTGATTAGGCTATATATATATATATATATATATATATATATAAATCATTCCGGATAGTTATATCATGTCGCGGTTAGTTTAGGTTCATTCGGTTTGTAAGTAATTAATAATTTTGGTTGTGTTTGACTTTATTTGGTCAAAACATTTGATCATTTTTTGGTTTTAAACTAAAGTTTGTATCCTGTACGTTTTGGAGGTTTAAAATTAATTTTTTTTGGTGATTATGGGTTAATTGGACGTTTTATAACTATGATGTTACAAATTAGTCCATTAAAGCCGTATCATACGTAAGAATTTCCCCGGTAAGCTACTAACCGAGTATGAATCATCATGCTCAACTTACCGGGTAGAATCTCGGTCCTTCCTTATCAATCTTACTAGGTAAGATTTACAATTTTTATCATGTTCATCCGGTATAGTAATGTGATTGTGTGTTTTAACAAGTTACACCCCTATGGTTATATTGATTGCATTTTTAATGAGTTCGATCCTTAAATAAATTAACGACTTAAAGATTCTACTCATCTTAAAAGTACAAGATATAATCCGTTAAATTTTCAAAAATAAACAAGAACCGTTAAAAACATATAATTACAAGGACTAAAAACGTAATTTACTCAAAATACTAAATTTGCCATGGAGAGGCGTCTGCTAAATCAGCATCCGCAAATCCAATAGGGGGATTGCAATCCACTTTCGCCATGGCTGCTCTAACCTTTGCTCACAACATCCTTCTATCCAACCCCTCTTTCCTCCGTCACTCAACCAAAACTGGCTTCACTACCTTCTTCTCTGTTTCGTCACCTTACTTGCGCCGATATAAATCCACTCAGACACTAGTTGCTTCTTCAGTCCTTGAACTTGGTGGAGTTAAAATTTCCAAACAAGGTATTGCTTCTCATCCAATCGCACTTTAAGATTTGGGTATTTTTCGTTTTGTTGCTTTCTAGGTTGAAGTATTTTGTAATTTGGCATATTTTGATTTGTTTAATGCTATATACACGCTGATTTAGCCGGATTGTTTTGTTTTGATGGTGGCGAATTGAAGATTTCTTGTTTGATTTCATCTGGGATTATGATAGGGTTATGTCATGTTTTTTCTTCTTCTTGCGGTGTGCAGATGTGATGGGTTGGGTTGGGAGGTTTGAAGCCACTACTTCAGTTTGGAAAAGCATAACCCATTCAACACTTCTTAAATTTATAACCCAACCAAACCCAATCCATTACATGTTGGTTTGTGTTGGTGAGGTTTTAGGGTGGGTGGTTTGAACATATGTCTAATAAGATAATTATATTACAATGTCAAACCAACAAAATCAAATATTAGTGGTTAATACTTAACCATTCAAAAATATTACAATCATCTAAGTTTATGTTTAATTGTTTAAACATAAGTGTCGAGATACATATTATGATAAGAATGTTGAATTAAAATGACTAATGAATCAATGACGGTTTTCCACTTCTCCGACCAATGTTGCATTTGCTTTGAGTTTGGTCATGCTGACTATGGTTAAAAAACCGAAGTTATACTAATTGGAGTATTAGATTAGTAGAAGTTACTTAATGAGCTAGAATATTAAATTGTTAATGGACCAAGTAGTCATGTTAGTAGACATTTAATAGTTAGTAATACAATTTTTTTTAATTATTATAATTTTGTCGGGTTTGGCTTGGTTTGACATGGACCTAACCATAAGTCATACTCATAACCAACCCTAGTCACATCGGTTTGTATATTTTATAAAGCAATTAAACCTCCATTTTGATTGGGTTGGGCTAGTCTCTATTTTTTGGGTTGGTTTGTGCTGGGCGGGTTGGTGGTTTGATCGGTTTTTTAGCACCCCAAGGTATCATGGTAATTGGATTTTGATGTGTATATTTTTCTGTGTTTGATGTAATACTGGGTAACTAGTTATGAAGAAAATACCCTGCTAACCCAACAATCTTCGTTTGGAACATTACTAATGGCATGATTTCCTTATATGGAAACTTTCATCCTAAGAATCATCTCCTTGCCACTTACAAATAATTTATACGATTGATTTTGATCAGCAAAGTTTTGTCATTGTTTAGGACATTCTGACTAATAGGAGAAACACTTTAACTAAAATGTGAACATAGTCAAAGGGTGCACTTTTTACTGGACGACGAGAGTATGGAGTAATTCGTAAGAGAATGCTTTGTTTGTTTCTGAAGGTAATTGGTTCTGCTATTATTGTGGTTATCAATTTGTTATGGGGTTATTAATTTGTTATGGTTCAGAAAAGAGGTAGGCTTTAAAATGTCTAGCTTTAGCTTTTCAAACTTCACCTGGATATTTTATTTGTGTGTGTTTCAAGAGAGAATTGATCATTATCCAAACTTCATAAAGAGTTACTAAGGAGTTACTCACACTAAGTGTCAGTTTCTGCAAAATGATGTCAATCTTAAATCTACCACTTCTAAAAACTGTGATTTTTGCTTATTTTTAGCACCCTTTTGTGGCACTTCTTTTTATGGTTTTTCTATTAAGTTGGGTCTACATCAATTCAAGTTCAAAGATGGGTTGTTTGACTCTAAGAAGTTGAACATGTTTAGTTGATATTAACGTCCTTCTGTTATAGTACTGCTTTTTGGGTGGATCTTTTTATTATCAAGTCCACTGTTAGCTGTGGAGTTAGAATATATTGATGCTACTCTTTTCAGTTTATCTTCTCATCTAGTCTCTATTGGTAATCTGCAATTCAGATGTGGTCAGGGACGAACCAACAAATAATGTCCCGGATCTGATATTCACTAAACTCGGATTGCAACTTCATAGAAGAGATAACCATCCTCTTGGGATCCTCAAGAATGCAATATATGAGTATTTCGACACCAACTACAACAATCAATTTCATAAGTTCGATGATCTCTGCCCTATTGTTACCATTAAAGAGGTATGCTCTTAAAGTTTGCTTTATACCTTTGAATGGCATGTTCTGCTTTTGTCTTCTTGAAGAACTTACCTTTTTGTGGCTTAACTCTCCACTCTTCTAATTTGCTAATAGGGCTTATGAAAGTTTTTGATTCAATATCATGCACTCCTACAGTTCATATTTATCTGCTGGTGGTCTTCTTTATCTGTGTTTTGTTGCCAAAGGGTGAGTGATGCAGGGTAGAGATGTAGAAGATACTGGCTTTATAGAGGAAAATGAAAGGAAACAGGTTTTTGCAACTTCACAACAAAAGTAACACTAGGATTTGATCTCTTGAGATTCTCACTGATATGAACCTTAGACATAAGCACAACATCTAAGGCAATTGCTTTCATAATCAACAAGAACTCTTAACATATGTTATTCGGCCATCTAATAAACATTCTTATGGATTATATCTTTGTTATTTGTAATGAAGCTAAAAACTAACAATACCAGGGCTAGTAGTAATTATCCAACAATAAAGCTGAACAACAGATCAACTAAAAGTAAAGATAAACCTAAGGAATTTTATCTAATTTACCTTGGAGCTTTATCATTGGGATAGCTACTAGTTGTGTTATTGTTAGTCTTTAACTTCATTATAAATAAAGATGCGTTGCTTCAAAATGAGTATTATATAGTAATAAAATATATAAGAGCTTCTCTTTTGATTTTGTGAAACGATCACCTTAGGTGAGATGCAATAGGTGTCTTGGGTGTGAAAAGCTCAATAACGATCTCTTCTAAATTTTCTTTCATTGAAACCTAGTTCCTTCACTGTTTTTAAGAAAACACGTCTCTCTTACATTTTTGACCTCTTGTCATTTAATTTCTATACTATTGAAGATGATATGCTCCTGTATGCACATTATTTGTACTTGTTGAGGAGGTACATGAAGGGTAAAGAACAAAGGAAATAACTAATGAGGTTGTTGGGCTATGATAGTTTAAATAGATGCCACTAAATCAAGGATTCCAAAAACATGTTGCATGCTTTGAGATTGAGCTTTTGCAGTTGGTGGTTTAGTGGTGATCGATAAACAGTTGAGAAGGAAGATAATATTGGATCCTTTCTATATGCTCTAATAACAGTAACAATGTAACGAACTTGTAACAATGTATTTGCTTACTTGAAGTTATTTGCCTGGCAACTGATGCGGTCTTAACACCTTTCTAGCTACTTCTGGGAGTGTTAGGTTATCTTAAAATACTAGCTAGGTATTTGCAAGCTAGGTGATCATGATAGCAAACAAAAGAATAAAGAAGCTCTTATAATTGACTTCTTGATGAATTGTTAAAAGTTCGGATTTGCTTCCTTATAAGTACTCCCACTTTCTTCCATTGATTTGGAACCAAAGTTGTGGATTTCCTGAAATATGTAGGTGTATCATTGTATGTTGTACCATAGACAGATGTCCTTGGTTAATAACATTCAAATGTAACTAAATCCTTTTGCGATCGAGATACTTTTCAAGATGCTAAATATACCTTGTAAATATCGAAGATTGTTAGAATATGAAGGGTATAAATTTTTTACTAGATCTGATCCATCAGCTTTGGACAACGATCCTTCGATAAATCCAATCTTGTTTTTCACTGAAAGAGCTATCATCGTTGACCTGCTCCACGGTGGATAGTTTTCATCATTCACTTGTTCCAAAGCCAAAAACTAATCCATAGTAATCAATGTGATGTAAAAAGAAAGGATCTATATTGGATGAAGAGGAAATATTCAAACTGGCTGCATCTGTTGGAGGCACCATATCGATTGGTATGATACAATCAGTAATACCAAAGCTTGAGCAGAACAGAAACGTGTTCTGCTCCGATACCATGTTGCGCATTAAAACAGAGCATGAAGGAACAAAGCATAGCAGGAGAGAAGAAGAGATAAAAGAGTTGTAGAAATTCTCATTGATTGAATTGCTTCTGCCAGTGCAGGACTCTATTTATAAGTAAAAACGGTAGCTAACAAATAACTTCCCAACCGACTAACTACAAGTTATTACAAGAGCCGTGAATAATTGGGAATTAGGGGTTCTTGGAATGAGAAGGAAGTTCATTTTTCAAGTATTAAGGTTTCGCCTGGTTTCCTATTTCAATGTATGCATTCGTGGTGGCAGTATTTGAGGTATCCCACACGATGGCTAGTGCTTAAAGAAAGATGCCTTCCATGCTAGTTAGCTCTATGTGTGTGCGGATGCCTCTTTCCTAAGCACAATTTATTATGTCGAATATTTGTACTATTTCTCTCTCTCTTACTCTCAATTTATATATGCGTTTCTGTGTGTATATGTATGGAATGTATCATTTTTCACATTGTACATAAATCTTCTCTCACTCAATATGTCTTCCCTCACTTGGACTGCAAATGCCTTCATTCTTGATTTAATTTTTGATTGTTTATGCAAAAAGTAAGGGTACTATTAGCTCAAAATGTAATGGGAAAAAGCATAATTCATGGGAATGTACTACCCACTCGTGGGAGATATATGATGAGATGGTTTCACAGCAGCCATGACAGAGGAAAACAGAGAGGAATAGGATGCGGAAGGAAGAATGACAGGGATATCTGTGAATGTTTCTTCTTGCTTTCATTCAGTGATAATAGCTATTATATAGGCAGCTCATAATGAATTCTCAACAGAAAGTTAGTGGCAAGATTGCCAGCTCATTAGCTATACCACCACTCACTCCAAAGAGACTATTCTAACTTCTTCTTAGGTGGCGTTTGTTTTTTAAGAGGTGCTGAAGTTTGAAGTCTGAATTCACTTCTGAATTTTAAGAGGTGGTGCTGAAGTCTGAAATCTGAATCAGTCAGACTGTTTGTTTTTACGTCTGAAATCTGAATCAATTCATTTCAATTAAATTTAACTGAAATATCCAATCATTTAAACGAAATTGGTGTTCAAACGATCCAAGCTCACAATGGAAATCAGAAGTGGAATCACTGTTAACATCATGAACTTGATTATGATCGTTTCCAATGCCTAATGTTTTTCCATTTCCAATGAAGGAAAAGGGAAGATTGAAGAACCCTAGCTGCTAAGGAACTGAAAGCCCCTGTTTACGCTTGGTTGGTTTAAATACCCATAAATGGTTTGGATTTCTGAAGATGGAGATGGAAAAACATTAGGCATCTCGCAACACTGCCCTAAAATTGACTCGTAATCGAATCCTTCCAATGGCAACCCTAACAACGACCTCCCCGTCGTCCTCTCCAACGCCTGCCGTCGAATCGAAGCAGCCCTAAGGCAGTCCCCAAGCTTCGATTCCGAAGGATTGAACGAAATCGATGCCGAAAAACCCTAGGAGGTAGATGAAGGAGGAGGCAGTGCATCCGATGCTTTAGGAACCGGAGACGGTGATCGATCGACGATACCGACACCGGAGTGGAGAAAGGGTGGGAGGTGGTGCCGGAGTGGTGGCGGGTGGAGGTGGGGTTTAGGGAGAGAAATGGAGGTGGTGGAGGAGGGGAGCGGGGAGGAGAGGGAGAGGAACATGGCGGAGGGTAGGCGAGAGCTTGAGGCGACGCGATTAAGAGGTTTTCAGACTGCATTTTACCTCTAAATAATTCAGATGAAATCAGATGTTTTAAGCACTTAATTTAAAAAAAAACAAACGCACTTAATCCCTCAATGTCTGACCGATTCAGACATAAGAGGCAATTAAGTGCTTTTTTTTGAAAAACAAACAGCACCTTAGTCTCTCTCCTACTCAAGCCTAGTCCCAAAATTTGGCTGGCATTCTGGTGGTTTATATGGTTCTTCTTAGCCCTGAATTTCCCTCATATGGCCCAATATTGATATTGTGACTTGTGAACCTTATACTTGTACTTGTTACCAAGAAGCATGAACATGTTTTGGTCCTTCTTTCCCTGGTTCAGGAACAGGGATGAAACAAGACTGGACTCCCTCTTGCACAACACTCTAAAATCTTGCACTAGATATTTACTGTACGTAAGTAAAACTCATGGCAAGGTTCCAAAAGCTTATTCCTTATTGTTGTATGAACATGTTGTATAACCTTTGAGGTGTTATAATTATTCTCTTTTATGCTAAATTCACATCATAGTGCGTCCTCTTTGAACCCTTGAATGTAGTCTTTGAGTTCAAGAATACCCTTGGCTTCCCAGACCTGCTTCACTATCTAAAGACTCGATAATGTGTTCTATTTCGCTATCTACAAATTTGTCACAACCTTCTTTTGAGAAAAGATTGTCATGCACCTACTTTGATAAATTCCCATTTGCATCCTCATTATCTCATGGTATGATCCCAAAAGTTGTTTTAATTTGTAAGAAATCTTCACTATTTGTGAAATCATAATGAATGGTCTCTTGCCTTCAGAAACCCTCTTGCGAGCTTATCTCAATGTCTTAAATTGTCACTGGCTTTTTTTTAGCCATTTAGTTGAGAGGGATTAAGGGCCAATTTTTGTAGAGTCTTAGGTAGAGGCAACTGCTTGGGTATACGCAATTTTTGCCAAGCATAGGTGCTAGGCTCCTAAGGCTCAAGGTCTTAGGATTTTCTAAAGTCGAGGCTCATCATTTTCACGAGGCTCACTAAGGCGTAGGGCCTTGTCTGAGGCTCCTTGTGGGCCTAGGCGTGCCTCATAAAGAGTTACTAAATAGCTAGTCAAACCCTAATATTAAATTTTTCTCATCTCCTCACTTTTTAAAAGAACAGTTATTAAATAGATGACATAAGTCAAAACCTAATACTAAATACCCAATCCTTAGAACTTCAAGCCTCCTTCTCTATGAATACCCAGACTATACAACTTCTTCTTTATGACTCACGCTTTCAACCCTTCTCCCTTCTGCCTCTATCGAAGTACTGTTGGTTGCTATATTGGAGGCTTGTACTTGCTGCATACTTGAGTTGTGTGTAACCGAGTGTGTGTCTATATATCTATATTGATAAGCTATGCTATTACTGCGGTCAGAATACAAAATATTGGTCAGGACCGATATTCGA